CGCTTCCCGCTGAAGGGAGGGTGATTACATAAGCTGAATGTTAGATGTTATATATATATATATATATATATTTTTTTTTTTAACAGGCATTTATTCCACTGTAGGATATAGACCTCTCTCAATTCAATATTGAGAGGTTATATGGCAGTGTTACCCTTGCCTGATTGGATGCCTTTCCTAATCAACTGCGGTTCGGCAGTGCCACGGCGGCGATTTACCCTACGACACCTGCACGCGACCTCTCTAGGCGAACGGTCGTTTTCTCGCCGTGAGTTCGGGCTCGAGCCAGCAGTCGGAGAGCTGGCATTTTTACGACTGCCGCGAGGAATTGAACTAGGGACCGCAAGGGCCGGAGTCTAGTGCTCTAACCACTGCACTATCGCGGCAGTCACATATAGATATGTGTGTGGTGTGTATGTGTGTGTGTGTGTATGTATATATATATATATATATATATATATATATATATATATATATATATATATATATATATATATATATATATATATATTACTCGAGGTCCAAGTTCTCCCGCGGGTCCCTCTGGTGGATTCGCGGCACAAAATAGCTTCGGTCCAACGTAGCTGAGGCCTCGAGAGCATCCCACAAGGACTGAGTCCGAGATGAGATCTGGCACGAGTTGATGCGAGGCTCAGACCAACATGCCTGTGATCCGCTCCGTGTCGCGCCTCGGAACATCCGGAAGAGGGCTCGGCTGGCTGGCGGATCAACGTCGCTCCTCGAATCGGGCACCGGTGCGCGATGGCTTTCCGGGATTCTTATATATGTGTGTGTGTGTGTGTGTGTGAGTGCGTGCGTGTGCGTGCGTGCGTGTGCGTGCGAGCGTATATATGCTTGTGCGTGCGTGTGTGACTGTGAGCGTGTGTGTGCGTGTGCGTGTGTATGTGTGTGTTTGCTGGGCTAGAAATTTAATTAATAGCAAAGAGGCTAATTTGCTTTGAATATCTACCTCCATATCCGAGTCCTGTCAGTCCATTCTAGAAGACACAGTTACCTTAAGTTAAAGTCGCAGAGGCAACATGGACTGCTGTGTCCCCGTACTTATCCCTCTTGATTATAGCAAAATGATAGAAAGCAAAAATGCTGATGAGTAAAAATAATAATCAAAAAATATCTGAATAGACAGTAGTTCGAACTTTACTGATGGATCCACCAAGCCATGGAGCAGAGTAGGTTGTGCTTTGCATCTACAGCAATATATCTGCAAAACCAAGACTACAGGAGAGTTCATGACGGAGATAGTATTGCGTAAATTGGTTTAGGAGAAATTAATTCCAGCTGGGGAATGCTTACTGTGTCAAGGATCAGGAGTAATTTTTCTGCAACTCTCAAAGTGTACTCAAGGCCCTGAACAGACGTGGAAAGAGCGTTGCAGATCATCTAAATAACATCAAGATTTTTAAAAACACATCCAGCAAGAGAGCGTGGCCATGATATGAGATTAAGCGCTG